CCGAGGGATTCAAATGTCTGAGTGGATTTATCATTTGTGATATACTTACTCATCTTCTTACTCTGTCTTTTAGAAGGGTCCAGAAGACAATCCCTTTAACAAGGCATTCAGTACTACACTCGAGAGAGGAGCTCCTGTATCCTTAACATGGTTGTTGTTTGTTCTCTGTAGGCTAATCATGAAGTTAGGAAACACTGCCATTGTAATTAGCTCTGATCTTAGTGTGGGTGATATGGTTATGGAGCGGCCAAGGCCAAATGCTAGCAGTTAAGTACCAAAGACAAAGTGTGTAGGGTTTTTCAATAGTCAGGGGACTCCCAGTGATATTTTGTTATGGATTACAAATGATGATTGCTTAGAATTGAAATAGTTGTGAAGTTACCAAAGTATAATTGAGTTTAAATTAAAAAAGCATCTAGGTGTGGTGAAAAAGACCTGACTTGAGTCACGTGTTGGATAGTTATGGCCCATCACCCAATCACCAGATCATGAGCCCTTGCCCAATGCATAGGCTGGGAACCCCATAACCATAGGAAAGGCCAGGTAGTTGTGAAAAAGGACCATGTGATATCATCAAATTTATGTACTATAAGTTTCTTTCTGGACTTGCCTAAAAGAAGTCTATTTATCAAGATGTCTGATTTAAAGAAAGTGAAATGCAGACTATTTGATATATTAATACCTACAGATCAAGGGGCACCTGGGTGGCTCAGTTGGTCAAGCTTCAGACTCTTGATTTCACCTCATGTCATGATCCTAGGGTCATGGTATCAAGCACCTTGTCAGGCTCCATTCTCAGCGTGGAGTCTGATTGTCTCTCTCCCTCTCCCTCTGCCCCTCCCCACTGCTCATGCACACGCTCTCTCTCTCTCAGATGAATAAATAAATCTTAAAAAAAAATTATCTACAGACCCAGAACACTATTGTATTTCATTAGTCATACGACTTAATTTTATCCAAAGTACATCTGCCGGTGTGCCTGAAAATTCATCTGTGGCAATCTTCCCAGTTATTGAATACATAGCTGAATCAACAATTAGCAGAATAATACATTGTCTCCCTGATCCATTGAATGAGCACTTTTTTTTTAAATAGTAGGAAGCCCTTAGAATTGCCACTCTATATAAAATTGAAAAATCAAATGAAATGCCATATCCTCTATGAAAACATAAGCCAATTTGTGTCAGTTTCAAGGACTTAAAATATACAGTGGGTGTTTGTATTTGTACTTACTCATCCCAATTAAAGTTTCCTTTGTCCTGTACAAAAGAGAGGTTTTTGAGAATGACAATGATTACTGTATATTTAACAGATGAAGATTTAAATGTTGAAGTCTCTTTACTAGAGAAAATCAACAGAGACCATCACACACAAAAAATGCAGCTACTATTATAGCAAGTGCATTTCTCTTTCTCCAGTAAATGAACAATACAAGAATAATCTTGCTTTCATTTTGGGAGGTATGGTACTACATATTCACTGTCTTACGTAAGGGCTACGTTAACTCTCTCTCTTTGTTTCTCTGGAATCTTCATTACAACACTCTCACCAAACCAATGTCCTGGTCCACTAGATTGTTGAAATCTTGCTCATAGATCTTGGTGAGCAGTAAGGAGCAGTTACTTTATATGTCTTTGTAAGGCACACGCATTTCAAAGGATGGGAGATTTATCCCTTAAAAATTTACCTTTCTGCATACTATCCCTGTGAATTTGTGGGGTCAAGTCATGTCAGGATATTCTCACCAAAGTGAAAGAGAAATGGCTGCTCCTTGAACTACATTTTTCAGCAAAGTGTCTTCTTGCTGGGTATCTTTGGATAACGGGGGAAACATATACCATATTATTTGGGTGAGTTATCCCTTCCTATTTGCCAACTACCCATAATGTTCCTCCTTTTTAGTGTGACCCAGAGTGAGAGAAGGCTGTTGTACCAATCCAGCTTGCACTGCAAAACAACTCTCTTATTTGGGCTATCTGGACTGAGTAAATCCAATTGTGCCATGATGGGATGTGCTTCTGGTATTCTGATAGTAGAATCACAGCATAGAATGTCTATGGCTTTAGAGAAAAGCAATGACCTCTTTGGAAAACAATTAATTTTCTTTTGAAATCCAGTTTCTGTTTGGCAACTTAGGTCTAGGAGTGATTGCATTTCTGATTAAGGGAACATAAATTCCTCCCCGATTCATGCAACCATCATCAACTGGGTGTTGTTTGATCCTCTAAATCAGAAAGTTAGGTATGCACAGCAGCCTAACATCATCAAGGGGAATTGACATTGACAGAGCAAGATGAGGTTCAATCAGTTTCTGAAAGCACAAAATGTTGTACGTGCAAGTAGCTCCCATTTGTGATGCATGTGTTCCTGCTAACTGCCACCTCTTACTTGATCCATACACATGGCTACATGGGGTGTTTCTCATTATCAGTTGACAGGGGAAAAAACTAAGCTGGATACTCATTCAGTTTCTGCATGATATGTTGGCATTGGTTGGAAGTGGACTGCTGCTGCATTGTATCTCATAGAGGAGTGCCATGAAGGACAATAGGGGAAGTAAAGCCTTACTGTGGGAAGAACTTCAAGTGATATGACTGGTCATTCATTTTACCTGGAAGGAGAGATGATGAGAGATATATGGACCTAGACTGATTCAGGAATAGTAGCTAAAAGGTTGAATGGATGTTTGGGGTGTCAGAAGGGAGAAGTTTGAAGAATACAAAACAAGAAAATCTGAGCAAAAGACTATGAGATGGACCCTTTGAAATGAATTCAGAATTGATATTGGTGTGCTGGGTGAACACTTAGAAATGAGCATGCGTTGCATAGGAGTCTTTTAATAAAGAGGAAGCAATGTTGACCCAGATGTCATTCAGCTCCTTCCTCCACTGTCCCACTGCTTGCACAATTGGCTCATGAATAGTGTGTTCAGGTAGCACGAAGGGAAGTTTTGTGTGGGTTCAAAAACATAATATTACTCTCAACAAAACTGAATGGCCACCAATACTGCTGACAGCCCAATCTGCCCATAGAATAATGCTGAACCATCTATATGATAATAGCATATGACGTCCATCCTGCCAACTTGGTGGTAGGATAATTATATTGAACTCCTTTCTTCGTGGGGGAGGGAGAAGTGATATATCTTCACTGGAATAGATCTATGAATGAATTCTTTCCTTCCCACCATGCTTTTGCCAGATCCACCACGTGTGCAATTACTGTATGCCTTGTTCTATATCAGTTTATCATGCATAACATGGCTTTTGAACAAAGAAATTATTTTTCAGCAATGAATTGAAAGAAAGAACTGAGTATAGGCTTCTGCAACAGTGGAATGATCAAACTGAATATTCCATATATTTAGTTATGGAACCATTTGGGTGCCTTATGAAGTTACATTTCTTTCCTCAAGGAAGGGGCAAATGCTGAACCAATGACAAATTCCTTGTTTCTTCATTGCTAGTCTGGTAATGATTAGTGTTGTTCTCCAAGTATTTCTAGCTCTGCCCCCTCCAAGTGCCATGGTAGGATTACACTTTCCTATTCTGTTGGTTAGGTGTGTCCATGTGACTTTCTCTGGATGAATAAAAGAGCAGAAGTCACTTCTGTGCAGAAACTGTTAAAGTCAGTTCATGATTATTATTATTATTTTTTTAAAGATTTTATTTATTTATTTGACAGAGAGAGACACAGCGAGAGAGAGAACACAAGCAGGGGGAGTGGGAGAGGGAGAAGCAGGCTTCCCGCTGAGCGGGGAGCCTGATGCAGGGCTCGATCCCAGGACCCTGGGATCATGACCTGAGCTGAAGGCAGATGCTTAACGACTGAGCCAGCCAGGTGTCCCAGTTCATGATTATTCTTATTGGTACTGTAATCATGGAAGCCTGCGTCATGGTGGCATATCACTAGCCTGGGGAATCTGAATTATGTTGAAGAGCAGTGTGTCATGCCTTTAGTGAAACATATATTTTTGTTGTGTTGCCTTGGGACACTTATTTTGAGTTGCCTTGGGAATTTTATTTTTGCTTGTTATTATACTATTACTTGCCATAGTACTCACTTATAGCTGTGATACCAACATGTAGCTGATTCAGAAGTTTCTTTGTAGCAATATAAAATAATAGTAGAATGTTTTATTTTTATAGCAAACCCTTATGTACTGATTGCATAGCCCTCTAAGTATTAACTTTTGGCCATGAGCTAAAGTTAGACTAATGTCCATGAACTATGAAAAAAAAAATCCTATAGGAATAAATGTAAGAATTAAAAATGGTCATTGCCTAAAATTATCTCTAAAAATCAGAGTTTAGGAAGAGTTAGCCAATTATCTTTTAGTTTCCAAAAAATTAGTCGCCAAATATTATTTCCTTTTCATGAATCAGAAAAATCCAAAACAAAAAAGCAGGATGATTTGCATAGGACCACAGCAGAAAGTAAAGTAGTGCAGGAATGAGACTCCACCCTTGACCGTGTCCTGACAGCTTCTGACTGGAAGTCTAGTGTCACGCCATTGACATGTACTGCTGAGAAGGCTTTGGGCCTCTGGCATATCTTTCCAGGTTAGTAGGGAGTCATTTTTTTCTTTCTTTTTTTAAAAAAAATTATAAGAGAGAGAGAGCACAAGCAGGGGGAATGGCAGGCAGAGGGAGAAGCAGGCTCCCCACTGAGCAAGAAGCCTGACGAGGGACTAGATCCCAGGACCCTGGGATCATGACCTGAGCTGAAGGCAGACACTTAACCAACTGAGCCACCCAGGTGTCCCAGTAGGGAGTCATTTCTTTTCTTTTTTTTTTTTTTGACACTGAATATGTTTTTATTGAACCTTTTAGTTTACAACATGAGGTAAAAGGAAAGTCATTTCTCCTTAACCAATATTTTACACAGCTGTAGTAAAATATTTCAAACTTTAGGGAATTATAATGGATTACATATATTAAAAGTTGGGGATTGGGTAAACAATATCGGAGTTCTTGAATTTTCCGGTTGACTCTTCCCTTACAATAGTAACCAGCTCTAATTAGTTACATAAGTTTCTTCAAGGCCATGTTTTATTGTTGCTGATGTCTTTATATCCGAAGCATTGCTATTTCAGTCAATATCCACTAACTCCACTTCAAAAATGAGTTTTGCATTTGGTGGAATTTTGGCATCAGGCTGTCCTTTCTTTCCATAAGGCCGTTCTGGTTCAACCTCTAGTCAAACCTTTTCTCCTTTACTCGTAGTTAAGAGTGCTTCATCCCATCCTCTGATAACTTTGCCTATTCCAACCTTAAAACTTAAAGGCTTGGCATTTTTCTTCTTCTTTGAACTCGTTTGAATATTAGTATCAAAAACAGTCCCATCCTGTAGTGTTCCTGTATACCAGCAGTGAACAACATCTCCCTTTTGGGGAAAGTTGGTTTTATCTCCTTTTTTAAGAACAGATTTTATGTATTTTGGTGGACCCTCATCCAGAGTCTCTTCAGACTTGGTTTCTTTGGGTTTATCTTCATTAAGCTTCACATTTTTCACCTGCTCAGACACTTTACTTATACTTTCAGTACCCTTGAAACGCTTACTTTCAAAAAGATGGTTGTAGGCTATAACCAAATGGTCCTTGTTAGCTGTCTTGGCCACATTTTTAATGTTTCCTAATAACTTATGTTCTGCAAGAAACGTTCCCACAAAAATCTTCACAATCCTTCCCATTTCTCTAATGGCCTACTCTCCTCTGCAGGGGTCTCACCCAGGTCCCCAGTGCTCGGACACCCGTTCCAACCCCCGTATCTCCTGGGTTCTTTTTTTTCATGGCTTCCACCCTCACTCAAGGATCCCAGTGAGGTTTTAATTATGCGATTGCTGCCTGCCTGCCCCAAGAAATAAAGCCGATCCCCACACCCCCCCAAAATTGGGCAGCCCAAACGGCGGGAGCATGGCTCCCCGGCGCACGCAAGGCCTCTCCGGCCTTCCAGGCCAGTAGGGAGTCATTTCTAAAGCCAGGCCTCTATGAGCATTGTGGAGAATAGTTAAGCTAAAATATTGTCTTGCATAAATTGCTGGTTAAATAAAGATTCTTATTGAATTATCCAGATAATAAGGTATTTGCTTTATGTAGATGCTATGACATAAGGATTTTTTTTTAATTAAAATTTATTTTAAAAACTTTTAATCTGAAATCCTTACTATCTACAGGTGTTCTGTTTTCGGGACATCAGCATACTTAAAGAATGCCTGTTTACTTGATTTTTCTGAGTATGTTTACTTATCTCTATACGTCTAAAAATTGCACTTTGAATATATTTTAAAAATATGTCTTTCAAAAATTCAAATCAAAACTATTCGTAAAAAGTATTTTTTCCACTTGAATTTCTAATTAAAGTAAAATGAAATGCAATTTTACTATAAAAATCAAGGCTTTTCCATTTCATAAAAACTCAGAGACTGTACTCTTTCTTCCCACACCATAGAAAATCAACATATTTAACTGCAAAGTTTTCCACACTGAAAATATTATCAAATACTAAGTATAATAGTCCATGCCTTAGTCAACATCTTTTTGGAATGATTTAAATTTCCAAAATGTTCATGAAAAATTCTAGAATTAGAGCTAGTGTCACTAATGTGAGGACAACATAAAATTTGCTTAATTCTTTTTTTTTTTAAAGATTTTATTTATTTATTTGACAGAGAGAATGAGATAGAGAGAGAGAGCATGAGAGTGGGGAGGGTCAGAAGGAGAAGCAGACTCCCTGCTGAGCAGGGAGCCCGATGTGGGACTCCATCCGGGGACTCCAGGATCATGACCTGAGCCGAAGGCAGTCGCTTAACCAACTGAGCCACCCAGGCGCCCCAAAATTTGCTTAATTCTTAAAAAAGATTTATTTATTTATTTTAAAGAGAGACAGAGCATAATTGGGGGGGGGAAGTACAGAGGAGGGAGAGAATCTCAAGCAGACTCCACACTTAGTGCAGAGCCCTATGTGGGACTCTATGTCACCACCCTAAGATCACAACCTGAGCTGAAACTAAGAGTTGGACACTCAACTACTGAGCCACCCAGGCACCCCATAATTTGCTTAAATTTTTTTTAAATAATTGGGATAAACTGCTTTAAACTCTTCTTTCATAGAATCCTATTGTCATTAGAGTTCAGCTTACTTCTTAATGCTCAAATCTACTTGAAGCTTCCATGTCTCATGTCCCTTAAGCTTTGGAAAGACAGGTGTAGGCATATCCACTCTCTATTGTCAATAACTGTGAAAATGAAACAATTTTTTTCCTTTTCCTCTCAATTCAGGAAGACTTCTGGAGTATTATAGATAAATTTAACCCATGATGCCAATCTTCTGTCTCATTTGCTTCTTTTCACATTTTTGAGAATTGGCAAACTTGCCTAATAATTGAGGTCACACAAAACAAATTACAAATTTGATGGTTTTATAATTCCGGGGGAAAAAAAACATGTATCTCTTTTCCTTAACTACTTAAGACTAACTCAGGGGTTAACTTGATGTGATATTACATATTATTCCCAGTATGCAACTATAGCAAGTAGAAATGGCTTAATTTATTATTTTAAGAAATGTTTTTATTTTTATTTTTTAT